GAGGGGAGGGGAAGAGGGAACCAATCGCATTGCAAGCAATAAATTAAGATATGAAAATAATAATTTATAATTTATCAAAGGGTCAGTCAGTAGGGTTTGGAGAAGGGGGGGAGGGAAAAAAGAGGAGCTGATACCAAGGACTCAAACAGAATGTAAATATTTAGAAAATGATGGTGGCAACATATGTATAAAAATGCTTGATACAATTGATGTATGGATTATTATAAGAGCCCCCAATAAAATGATCCTTAGAAAAAAGAAAAAAAGAAAGAAGAGTCTCAGAAACCCACGGAGACAGTTAGCTCTGCCTTGTCCTATACGGCCACTAGGAGGCAGGGTAGACTTGATGGCAGTGAATAGAGATGTAAGCCAACTGTGCCAAGATCCAGACTTCATCATTTCTGTGTTTGTTTTTCCTTAACTCTGGGCTTCTAAAGCATAGCAATCACTTACGTTTCCATGGACAACAGTAGTCCTTTATATTAAAAAACTTCTAAGGAAACTTGGTGGAATGGTGATCAAGCTTTCAACTACCAACTAAAAGGTCGCCCATTCAATTCGGCTAGCTACTGGGACAAAGATGTGGCAATGTATTTCTGTAAAGCTTACCATCTTATAAGATAACACCAAACACCTTGAGGAAATACGTCGCCAAGCATGGGAATCAGGATCATAGTCTCAGGGGCACCCAGCTCAGCTGGGGTAACACAGCTCACGGAGATAATATTCCACATCCCACTTTGGTGAGTAGGGACTCGGGTCTTAAAAGCACATGAGCAGTCATCTAGGGTCCACTATTTGTCTCTCCCTATCCAGTACAAAGATGAATGATAAAAATTGGAAGACATGGAAACATGGAGTCCACTGAACTAATAGACCACACAGACATCAGCCTCCACACCCTGAAACCAGAAGAACTAGATGGTGCCCAGCTACCATTACCAACTGCTGAAATGGCTCACATCAGAAGGTCCAGGACAGAGTAGGAAGAAAATAATGGAACAAAACTCAAAATCTTAAGAGGTCAGGCTTATTGGCAGAAGCATCAAAACTAGGCCCCTTAAGATCTGGAACTGACAAATGTTTTGAGAATGATGAGGGCAACGAATGTACAAATATGCTTTACACAATTCATGTATGTATGGATTGTTATAAGAGTTGTATGAACCCCCAATAAAATGATTTATAAATTTAAAAAAAAATCTGGAACTGAATTCATTCTCCTGTTAAGAATAATCAATCATTTAAGATTTTTAAAAGGCAGCATTACTGAAGGACTAAGTACAGAGAGTTAGGCAAGGAGGAGGAATAGAAACATGAGGAAGTGGAAAAACTGAAGGTACACTGATGGACTAAAGGGCCAAGTTGAAACAAAATGAGTATAAACGATCGAATGAAAACTGTTAATCTGCTTTGTAAACCTTTACCTAATACATAATAAAAAAGTTTTTTAAAAGAAAAATATTACAACCTCGGAAGCCCTGTGAGGCAGTTCTACTCTGCCCTATAGGGTTACTAAAAGTCAGAATCACGTTTGTTTGTTTTAAACTTTGGGTTTTCAGTAACTTCTAACTTTTGTCATTTTAATCTCTTTCAATCTCTCCTCGGTTCTTCTGACATCCCTCAATCTCAAACTCTAACACAAGCACAAAACTGACCTTTCTCTCTTAAAAATAGCAAAACCCGATGACTGCCACTTAGTGTTATTTTCCTACTCCCCATTCACCACCATAGGCACTAACTGCACAGAACTTGCTAATCCATTAATTAAAGATCTCTGCCTCCCATTATGGAGGACTAAATTTAGAAAGCTAAATTGGGCTGGGAGGGAGCCATGTGTCACAACAAGTAAGATGAATTCCATGGACTGGGCTGGGGCGCTGGCTGTTTCTTCTGAAGACTCCGGCACAGCACACCCTCCTGTGCTGACAAGACAGAGCAGTGCTCCCATGGCTGCGGCAACCACTTATCACGATCATCTTCTGGAGAGAACTTTATTGTACCATCTGGTCACAAACGCCACAGGGCCCGTCAGCAAGTGCCTGCTCCTCAGGAAGCATGTCTCCTCTGCTTTGCTGCAACCTCCAATTTAGTCACACAAAAGAAAGGGGTGGCAAGCCAGCATTAATTGAACCCTTCGAGAAGAGTCACTTCCCGCCTGCAGGGGTGGCAGTGACTTAACAGGGCTATCAAATGGATAAGCCACCAAAAGTAAACACTGTAATTTGCTGGTTTTGTCTCTGGCACAGGGGGGAGTGGCACAATTGACACTGTCTGTAAACAGTAATAATGCCAGATGTAACACAAAGAACAGGATTCCCCCCATCTCCCCACTCCCCAGGCCACCCCCTCGCCTATGACATTCCTTCTGAGATTACTCATCTTGAGGAAACATGCAGAAGCTTCCCTATAGTTCATATGCTGCTCCGAATGGAACAGAGGGAGAATCCAGGTTTGTGCCGACTCCTATCTCACGCTCCCCTCAAGGGAACTCAAGAAGGATTCATTTTCATCTGGCTGACAAAAAAACAGAGGAGGAGAAGGAAGAGGAAGGAAAGTATGGAATAGCTAAGTGACATACTCAACTGTGAATTCGAAAATGGCTGAAACGTTAAATTTCATAAAGAAGTTTATATGAAGAAATATTCCAATCAAGATATATATTTTTGTTTATTTTACGTTGATATATATATATATATATTTAATGTGCTCAGCCCAGATCTGGGGGGTTCATAAACGGTCTAGGCAGAGGAAATGAGTTCAAGAGAGGAAGTTACCTGACCAGAGTTCCCGCCAGGTGTAATGCAGGCGCACTCTACACTTCTTCTGGTAGCAAAGCAGTTTCTGTACCACCTGAATGCAGCGTCTACAAGAGAGAAAGATGGGAACTGGGGTGAGTCTAAGAATACGGTACAAACTCACCAAAGAGAACTTTCTTTAGTGAGGCAGCTTTGCTAAGTCCCTAACACCCTGGACATGAATACAGGCACGTGGAAGTGTACATCTGCATCTCTTGTGATGGCTACATCTGCAAACAGCTTACGCCTTCCCCGGGTCCCTGAGAAAAAGGGGCTGGAACCTTTTACAGGTCATCTGCCAATTTGGTGCCACTGATATCCGTCCCTTGAATAACTTTCTCAGGAAGAAGAATGTGACATCCATGGGATGCAAAAACACAATGGCAAATCTAACGCATCTAGATCTATTTAAATTTTAAACACATTTTAATTTAATGTAGTTAGCTTATATTTTCTTTAAATTATAATTTACTTCATAAAAGGTAAAAACTTTTGTTCACCAAAAGGCTTTACCAAAACAGTGAAAACACAAGCTACCACCTGGAAGAATGTATTTGGAAACCAAATTCTGACAAGAATCTTATAATCAAAATATGTATAAAACTCCAACATCAGCAGAAAGGCAGATGATGGGCAAAGCATGTGACGAGACTCTTTGCCAAAGGGGGCATTCCAATAGCCACCAAGCTCATGAAAAGACAGCATCACTAGTCATCAGAGATCCAAATCTAAACCACACTGAGATACCACGGCAGTCCCACTAGAACTGGCTAAAGGGCCCTGGGGCACTGTGGGTGAGGGATGAGGCTGCCAAGTCCAAGGACGGCAGGTCATCAAACCCACTAGCTGATCTGGAGCAGACAGAGAAGGCTATCTGCTTACATAAAAAGGTGCAGGCTCAGAAACCCTGAGCCAAAATCAAGTTGACTGCAGGGGGTTTGAATAACTGAACATTTTTTTAAGCAGAAAAAACAAATGCCAAAAAAAGGGGAAAAAAAGAAAAAACAAATGCCAGCGAGGATATGGAGAAATGGGAACCCTTACACACTGCTGATGGGAACACAAAATGGTACAGCCATTGAGGAAAACAGTGTCGTGGTTCCTGAAAGAGCTGAAAGCAGAACTCCCACCGGACCTAGCAGTTCCACTCCCAGGGATATAGCTGAAGGACCTGAAAGCTGAAACTCAGACACATGAGCACACCAACATCCACCACGGCACTATTCACAATCATCCAAAGGCAGGAACAAACTAAGAGTCCATCAACAGAGGAATGGATAAACAAATTTTGGTACACATATACAATGGAGTATTACTGAGCTAGGAAGTAAAAACAAAGACGTAACACATGCTACAGGGTAGGAAAATAAGTAAAATAAGTCTATCACCAAAGGACAATCTTATCTAAGATCACTTAAATAAAAAGTCAAGACTAGGCAAATGTATAGAGAACAAAGTTTCCTAGTGGCTACAAGAGGTGTGAAAGAGGGAAAATGAAGGCATTAACAGTAAGAGGAAAAACTGAATTATGGGACAGGGTTGCACAGCTAATTATTCTGTTGTCACACCAATAAAAGTTGACTTGGCAAAAGTTGTGTGATATATATTTACAACAACAAAGTAGCCACTGAGGCTGCTTATGGACAACCAAACACTCCATGGAATCTGACTCCTGGGTGTGGAGGTTAAGGGTCCTGGTTTCACAGGGACATCACAATTAATAGGCTTAAATAACCTGTTTAGTGCTTCTGCTCGACAACCTAGTTCCTTGTGTAGTGCCTAGGGTCTTAAAAGCTTGCAAGCGGCCACCAAGGCATAACAATTAAGTCTCTATTTGCTCGGAGCAACATGAAGAAGGAGAGTCAGGAATAGAGAAAGAATATGAAATATGAAAATATAAAATTATTCCCATAAATAACTGCCTCCTTTTGCCACGAGACCACAATAACTGGATGGTGCCTGGCAACGATTACATTTTGAGCAAAGGTACTAGAGCAGAATCCTGATCAAGCGAAGGTAGAACAGAGTTTCCAGTAATTCCTATGGAATCCACACTTTCTGGAACCACGAAGGCTATTGAACTCCTGAAACTATTGCTCTGAGATAATCTTTAAATGTTAAACCAAAAATATCCTGGTAAGTCTTCTTAAGAACAAATAGTTTGACTTAACTAATAAAAATTGTCTGCCTTGAGCATTCAGCTCTTTTAAAGACTATCTAAATAGGATCAAATTGACAACAACTAGAAAGATTAGATAGGAACTACCTTAGGGAGTCATGAATTTATGTTATGAGAGGAACAATTCAGAAGAAAACGAGGGTAAAACAGCTGCACTACTTGAAGAACATAATACTGCCACTGCATGCAGTAGCTGATGCACTGGCGTCTGCTTTGCTATGTACAAAGGGGCTCCCATGGCAATGAGTTAGGCTTTGGGCTGCTAACTTCAAGATACACAGTTCACACCCACCAGCCATTCCTCAGGAAAAAGATGAGGCTGTCCGTTTTCATAAAGATTTATAGTCTTGGAGACCTTATATGAGGGGGTACACACCCACACACATACACCCCCCCAAAAAAAACACCAAAATTTTTCAAAGCTATGTATTTTAATTGTTTTACAAAACAACTTTATCATTTTCAAAGTACTCTCCATCACACTTAATATTTGTCAAATCTGAGATTCCATTCTTGAAAACATTTTTCAAACTCATCTGTGTGGATGGCTGACAGCACCGCCCACATTTTTTCTTCACCTCTTTTATGTCATCAAATCAGTCCTTTCAGGTCCCTCTTCATTTGCAGAAACAAAAAGAAGTCACACAGAGTGAGGTCAGGTCAGTAAGGTCCATAGGGCGAGAGGCATGCTGTTTCTTGCCAAAAACTGGTGCACTGAGAAGGCTGCATAAATAAGCAGGTGCATTGTCCTGGTGGCAAAACCAGTCCCGACTGCCAAGAATCAGGCCTTTTTTGTCGCACACTGTTACACAATCTTTTCAAAACCTCTACATAGAAAGCTTGATTAACAGCCTGACCTGGAGGAATTAATTCCAAATGCACTGAGTCAACATTTTCATGCATTCAGGAAGTTGACTGATGTCCAGAACAAGGTTTGCTATCAATCTACATTTCACCTTGTTTGAAATGAGAAAACCACTCTTACACTTGAGATTTTCCCATACCCATAATGTTGTCCTTGTAAATTGTGTTCAACATTATAACAGTTTCTGTGGCATTTTTTCCAGGCAGAAAACAAAATTTCACAACCGCACATTGTTCTCTTAAATCAGCCATGATAAAAACGAGGTTGGAGCAAAATTGCTTTTACAAAAAAACTCACTGTGACCAGAAAGAACCTTCCCATGCGATGCGACTGGGTGCACTAATTCGGAGTAAGTTGGCTGATGCTGGCCTAGTTGGAAAATGCGGACAGGAAAGCTCCGCCCAGTAGAGCTTTTTCCCATTTTAGTTGTTGGTACATCCTCGCATAAGGTCACTATGAATCGAAATCAACTCAATGGCCCTGGGTTTGCTTTTTGCTACGAATAAGAGGGGGCTTTAAAAAGTTTATGGAAAAATGAAATTAAAAGATAATGGAATTTTCCCACAAATTTTTGGAGGCTCCCTTGTATATTCTCAACACAAAATACTTTTGAAAATTTCCTTAGTTGTACTAACTACATTTTAAGTATTCAATAACACATGCAGATAATGACTTCTCAATGGCACAGACATAGAACTTTACCACCATTGCAAAAACCTCCCTGCCCTCCAGTCTATCCCAACTCACAGCGGCCCTATCGGACAGGGTAGAACTGCTGCTGTAGGTTTCTGAGACGGTCACTCTTTATAGAAGTAAGAGCCTCATCTCTCTCTCTTTTTTTAAAATCATTTTATTGGAGGCTCATACAACTCTTATCATAATCCATACACACATCAGTTGTATAAAGTGCATTTGTACATTCGTTACCCTTATCATTCTCAAAGAGAGTCTCACCTTTCTTCTGTAGATTTATTCACATCCTAACAACATGTAAGTTTTTGTTTTTTTTTAAATATGGAACGCTTCACGAATTTGTGTGTCATCCTTGCGCAGGGGCCATGCTAATCTTCTCTGTATCATTCCAATTTTAGTATATGTGCTGCCGAAGCGAGCACAACATGTAAGTTTTTGAGAATATTTCCAAATAAGCAGTTAACAGATTGAGGTGAAATTTGAAAAATTATAAACATAAAAACATTTCTTTCATCTCTCACTGGTTTGAAATTTTAAAGAGCCATGGCTGAAATTACAAAATTAAATATTGATAACACAGCAAACAAAAGAAATTATTTTGTTTTGGTTTTAGGAAATTATATTTATTTCAAATGACACAAAAGAGTTACCATACTTAACATACAAAAATGTCTACAAATTGACAAGGCAAACCGTGTAAGAAGGATGGAAGAAAAAAATGGTCAATAGATTTTTACCTCCAAAAACCCTGTCATGAAGTTGATTCTAACCCTATATAGGGTTTCCAAGACTACATCTTGACAGAAATAAACTTCATCTTTCTTCCTCTGAGTGGCTGGTGGATTTAAATTGAGGTTGGCTGCCCAACTGCCTAACCCACAGAATCAGTGACTCCTCATTTTAAAGAATTCAGCACTCTCCTACATTGCTGGTAGAAATATGAAATGGTTTAGCCACTTTGGAAAATAAGTTGTCACGTTCTCAAAATGTTAAATACAGTTGCCCAGCGTTTCTACTGCTAAGTATATAACCAAGAGAAATAAAAACATGTGTCCACCAAAAGTAAGTTCGTTTTCTGGGGTGGTTTCCCTGGGGCTTGCTTGTCAATGCTGCGAGACTTTTGTCATGAGGTAGTACAGCTTCAGAGAGTACATGCCATCCCTGGAAAGGGTGCAAGCCCGCATTGCCAGGACCGTGGAAAGTTCATGACTGAAAAGGGCCATTTCAGGGAGCACGGAAAAACACATGGAAGGAATACCGGAACAGAATGGAGGAACCAGCACTCAGAGCCAAGAGCAGGAAATCCCGAGAGCGCGGACACCTGAACAAGA